GCAGCATAAGTATCGGAGAATGGGAGCGAGCGCATTCGAATCTGCTCGAAACGAAAGGCACGCACTTACTTGGACGATCCGGACGTGAAAGACGGGCCTGATGTCGGGATTCTCCGCGAGCTGCAGCAATCGCTTGTGCATGAGCACGTCCTCAGCCCTCTCCGTGTTGACATCCAACGCATACCTGGATCACCACCAATTCATCCCGGTTCCAAGCCGGTGTCACCACCGTCCAGCATTCCAAGACAGATCTCACCTCGTCGGCAAGCGATTGAAATGTGCCTGTAGCTCTTCCAGAAATCCGGGATCCTCCAAAGCCTCGTGATTCTCCGCCTGGAGCCGCTTGACAATCTCCTGGCACACCTCGGCCTTTGTGGCCCGATGCAGTGAAAAAGCTTCCTCTCCCCCGCCGCTGCCGTGAGACCGGTGGCGCAGCTCCTCCTGGATATTTCCCTCCACCGCCACCGCCTCCTCCTCCAAGAACTCTTGCGACGAGGTCATGGCCCCCGATTGAAATTCCGAGCGCTGCCTGCCGCGATCCCACTATGTCTCCCAGACTCTAAAAAGAAGAAACAATGGCAGGCCGTCAGCTCGCATTATCACGGGCATGCTCGATCGATCAAAAGAATCGCATTGGCGATCGCTGCCGCCCTAGCACCAAGAAATGCATCAAAAACACATCCGATCGCCGCGGAAAGGCTGCCACAGCGAGAAAGAAACCCCGCGCGACGTTTCAGCTCCCTCGCAGCGATCCAAAGCCCTAGCCAGGGATCTAGAAATGCCAGCCCGCAGCGAAATATAGAGAGAGCGACCCCCCTCTCCTATCCAAGCTTCCAGCACGCGGCCGTCGATGAGCGACCCATCCAACGGCTGCAACAGTGCAGCGTGGTCACATTGTTACTGTTGGTTATTACCCGATGACGTGCAGCCAAAGCATAGCCGCTCCACCCAATCCCAGCCGCTAATCAACGATTAAAACACCCCCAATGGCCAAGATGAGCACACCGGCTAGCTGACCGGCTTTATCTAAATCACGAGACACTTGCTTTGGTCCACTACTGGTCACGGACCGGCTCACCACCACCACAGACGGAGTACCGTACATGCAGCCAGTTTCTAGTGACCGGCACGTGTTTCGGGATCAAGGCCCTGCTCGGTCGAGTAGCCGCGTCACTATATAAAGAAAGCAATGTTTCATGAGCGTCAAAGAGAACTTGCTAAACTTGGGTGTTTAGTTAGTTTAGCCAAAGCATATGTGCATAACTTGGCCCGGATATGCGAAGTACTTAAACTAAACGATGCTCATGCATGTCTTGGAGTGGCTCTTGGATGCGTCCAAGGGCCACTCCGTGCCGTACACGTACGAAATTGCGCTGGACGTACCGTGTCATGGTTTGGTTTGAGAAAGATTTTTATTTTTTCTTTACATGCTTATCGTGCTTTGAGCTGGCCCAAATCTATCTAACGTGTTAAAAACAAAGGAAGCTTCTCTTCCAGTGGCCTTCTGTGTTTTTTCTATGTTGTCATAATGTTCACTTCAACTGGATTTTTCCCGGCCTGTTTCGACCGTCCAGATGCAGTGAACCTTCAGCCGATTTCGACCACGTTCATCTAGAGAGATAAAGTAGAAGTCAGCGCTATATTAGGATACATGCTCCCTGAAATTGGGATCACGGATAGAATGGGTCACCCACACACTAAGAGTGCACCTAATCTTTCAAAATTAAAATAGGAAAACAAGAACTTAAGCTTGATGATCCACATCTATAGAGGGATTCAGACTCTCATGCTAATCTTCTGAATCCTTTCTTTTAAAATAAATAATTTTAAATCATTTATTTTAATAGTGTATTAGAAGAGTTGTAGATCATTTTGGAAGTTGATAGAGCCACCATCCCATTCCACTAAAATATGTAATAATAATAATATTATAAATAAATGTGTCTTTGGAGCAACACTAAAATCCTACCATTTAATAGTTTTAATAAAGATATTGTATGGTTTTTAACAGTTCAATATTTATAGGTGTATGATATATATAGTATAAGAAACTATAGAAACATGTTGAACATACTAATTTTTTTAATCAATTATTTTTTTATTTTAAAAAATTTAAAGAATTTATAAATTCGTGTTATTTTACTATTTAAACTATAATATAATATAGGTATATAATATGTATGCCGAGGATCTTTGCTCTTTATGATAAATACTAAATGTGATAATAAATTTGATATAATGAACAAATGTGAGAATGTTTTGGATATATAGAAATACTTTCACAATAATATATATATATATATATCATAATTATCTTTATTATATATAAATATTTTTAAAATAAAAATAAAAACTGCTTAAACTTAAGTATTTATAAATACCATTTAATATTGACAATTATATCAAGTAAAAAATTTAAGTTTTAACATATTTTAATGCTATCAAAACTCATCTTGATAAACACAATTTTAAAAATATATTTCTATAATTTACTCAATTTGAGCTTAACTTTCACTTACTAACCTTCTTGATAAAAAGTTAATTAACACCATCATTTCTTATTTTTATGACTAACAAATTATTCATTTTCTAATAAAGTTTTCCTAATGAAGATATATATAATAGCATAAGCCTAAATCTGGTACTATTTCCTTTTAGTTTGTCAAAAGCAGATAAATACATTATAGTATAGTATATTCCTTTATTTTTAAAATTACTATAGCTTTACTTGCATGGCCATCTCTCACATAGAGCTTGTCCATTATGTAACAAAGTATATGTAATGCTCATGAATGCAAGTGCCTTCATGGTAAAGCTCTAGATTAACTTCTGGTGGCTAGAAATATTATCCAGTTCCTACTGAAATTGCTCTGATTCTTTGCTTAAGAGTTGTGGGTGTGGATAATGCTCTTCAGGGATTGTGTTATGAGCATCAAGGAAGGAACTGAAAAGGAAAGGCCAAAGTTTAAATACAATTGTTAGTCATATCTCTAGAATATTGAGAAAACCCTAGAGCTGCTCACACATCTAGAGCTCAGCTTATGAATCAAATTCATGTGACAACCCTCAACATTTACTCATAGATGGTAAATACTGTTTATATTAGTGTATATGTAAGAATCTTAATACTAAACCTTGCCCAGGTTTTCTAAAAGCAAACCAAAAAGTCATGATAGTCACCTTCCAAACGACTTACATAGATTGACAGTCACTAGTCTTTAACTAGCTTCATTTTTTAACTAACCTCCAACTGTGTGCTTTTCTATCATTTCATGTGAAGGATTGAAGATTGCACGATCGAAGTCCAGAAACTTTGGCTTGCCATCCGAATTAAAACATAGGAACATTTTAGATCCCCATGTAGAACTCCTTTGGAATGAATCTCAAGTAGCCCGTGTCTTACTTCCAAAGATATAGAACCTGTTGTGACCACATCACCTAGCCCTCGTCCGACAGAGCCAAGTAGACAACGTTACAGTGAGGAAGACGGCCAACACCAAAAAACATCGGAGGATAGATCTCGAGGATGCCCTGGATTGCTACATAAACCCTTTCCTCTTGCACGAAAGCTTTAATAGCTTCTTCCTCCCGTAGATCGAATGTCTTCAAAACAAGATCTAAAACGTTTCCATATTTCCCCATACCTGCAACACAATGAACACAAATCAAAACTAAATCACTCAACTCTACTCTGAATGCATACCTGCCAAACCAAGCTCATTTATGGTTGGAGCAGAGAGCTCATGAAACCTCTCTTCTTCAACCACCATTGACATGTCATAGCGTTGATAGTGGCTGCCCCTCGGTAGCTTCAACGAGGAACCTCGAACCGGAGCCGACAGCACCAATTCCCGCTGCATATGGAGCTTTGTGGTGGCACTGTCCTTGTGAGCTGCCACAAGAACAAACAGAAAGGCTCCGAGTGGTGCACCACCATCCACACGAATCACAGGTGAACACTGCAATGTCTTGCTGGTTGCATCAATCCTCTGGAAGCAAATAGTCTGTGAATAGTTCGAGATAAAGCCGATACGTGTTTCGTCCATGACCATGTCACCAAACAGTTGTTGAATGTCTTTGATAAGCTTCGAGGCCTGTTGATTGTCCTCCAGAGCTAGTCGCAAGTCTCATCCCGAATTTTTCGACTCCCATGGCCCACTCAACTCGCCATTCCCAAAAACACGACGAGAGAGCTTCTTCCGGTTCCCAGCTGGTTGAGGAAGTCTTGCGTCCAAGATTACATGGTCCGTGTATGGGTATGATCGACCACTTGCACCAGCTACATAGAGAAGTGGAATTCCTAACTCCGCTGCCATGCTCTCCAAACGTGGATAGATCCATGGCACCTCTGACTCCTACTTTTTCAGACACTACTGGAAGAGGATGAACAGTAGCACTCTCGTCGAATATCTGCGTATCATCCAGGGATCCCACAAAGGCTGTCATCTCTTGCTCAAATTGTGGCCAGGCGGGCTGAGTCCTATTGGCAATTCGGGTAGGTTCTTCCCTCTAAGAGTCAGCCTCTTGACATCTGCAAGGAAAACAACAATTTCTAATAGCAGCACAATTCCATCCTATTTATTAGGGTTTGCCTTTTTTAAGGGTTTTTCCTACTTGGTCTTTTAAGCGTTTTTAGGGTTCTGTAGAGTTTTGGTGTTAGGGTTCTTGGTTGGGCGGCAGCAGCGCGCGCTCGTGGCAGGATGTTTCTGGGACAGATTCAGCTGCCCGACAAGGCGGAGGCGCACCGGCAGCTCCGCAGCCATCTGACGCAGTTCGGCATCTGGGTGGGCGTCATTAGGGTTCTGCCCTATGTCATCCATTTCCTCACCAAGGAGAACGAGGAGCTCAAGCTGGAGCTGTAAGCGATGCAATCAGTCTATTGTTTCCTCCATCCCCAGTTTTTGCCTCTTTGATTTTGTGATCTCTAGATCACTGCAAATGTTGAACTAAAATCTAATGGAAAGAAAGAGGGAGAATTTCTCGTGAAGAACCCTAAAAGATGAACCCTAAAAACAGAGTAGCTATTTTAGTTATATGATACAAGAGGTGGGAAAATTTTTCACCCTTGGGAGATAACTTCGCCAAACTTGACAAAGAGGTGGCCGCCCGAGGTGGTGCTGCTGGCCGAGAGATTGTCCCTGTGCTTGCTATCCACGTAGTCGTCCACATACCTCCGGTTTGCTCCACCGGCATTCGCAGCGGAATCCACAGCGGCATTGGCAGCGGCATTGGCAGCCCCGGCCGAGGATTTCTTGACGCTGGGCGGAGGCAGCAGCGTCAAGATCACATTGACAACGTCGTGCATGGTGGGTCTTTGCGCCGGGAACTTCTGTGCGCACAGCAGCGCCAAGCGGATGAGCTTCTGGATCGCGTTTGGGTCCGTGCACGTATCTTTCACCTCTTGATCCACGATCTCCATCACGCTCTTGTTGTTCACGTGAGACAACACCTGCGAGATCGATCACCCAAGCTTTGTGAGAGGAGATCCATCGATCATCCATGAAGCTTTACCCATTGGTGTAAGTTCTTCTCGTCGTCCACGGCCTTTTGCCGCGTGATGAGCTCCAGGAGCACGATCCCGAAGCTGTAGACGTCGGATTTCTCGTTGAGCCGCGACGTCCTGGCGTACTCCGGATCAATGTAGCCGATCGTCCCCATCACGTACGTGGACGTGTGCGTGCTCGCGGAGCAAATGCTCTTGGCGATGCCAAAGTCGGAGAGATGGACCTCGAACCTCTCGTCCAGGAGAATGTTGGAGGACTTCACGTCCCGGTGGATGATCCGGGGGCTGCAGTTGTGGTGCAGGTACTCCAGCCCCTGCGCAGCGCCCAGCGCGATGATCAACCGCGCGTCCCAGTCGAGCGTCACCTTTCTCACTGGTCCTGGAAAGTTTCCAAAAGATCATGAAAACGTTAGAGCTTTGCAAAGGAAGATGAGAAGTCATACCGTGGAGGATGTCCCAGAGGCTTCCATTGTCCATGAAGTCGTAGAAGAGGAGGTTCCCGGCCGAGGATAGCGAGTATCCATACAAGCTTACCAAGTTTCGGTGCTTGATGTGGCCTAGAGTCGCGAGCTCCGTCTCAAACTCGTGGACGTTCTGTGGATAGTGATTGTAGAGCCGCTTGATCGCAACTTTCTTGCCGTTCTTGAGCGTGCATTTGTAGACGGAGCTGGAGGCACCGCGGCCGACGAGAAATCTCTCGTGGAGGTTGTCTGTGATGCGCATGATATCGTCGTAAGTGTGGCAAGACATGTCCATGTGTAGAACGACGAGGCTGGGAGGGCCTGGTTTTCAAGTAGCGTGTCAGTTTTTTTCTTGCTTTTTTTCTTCGCGATGCTTTGCTTACTCTGGGATGAGTTCTTCGAGGCTTTGACGAATCCTTTGGGCTGGTTCCAGCGAATGCCCAGGAAGATGAAGACCAGTAGCAGACACATTGAGCCGATCGAAATGCCAAGAATCGCTGATGCTCCCATCGTTTCTACTCGAAGATGAAGAAAAAAATATGGATGAGTAGAAGGCGAGGTGAAAAAAAAACAGAGATTTTATATACCAGATGACCTCTTCCTGTAGACGTTGCACATTGGTTTCGTGGATCCACCACAGAGCTGTAGATTTCCTACATAGCTGCAAGTCTGAAAGTTAGAAGGAAGCTAAAACTATCAAACACAACATGCCTGTCGAATGAAAATCTATTGAAGATGCTACTCGCTGGTATCTCTCCTGAGAGATTGTTGTATGACAAGTTCCTGACAAGATAGTGTGAGTATCTCACAAAGAAACGAAAGAAAAGCTTACAAGGTGCTGAGGCTGAAACAGTTTCCAAGCTGCGGTGGTATCGATCCTGACAGGGAATTCTTTTCCAGAAGTCTGAAACAAGAACAGTACGTAAAGAAGCAAAAGGATGAAAAGCTCTTACAGTGCATTCAGTGTTTGTAGCTGTCCTAACTCTGGCGGTATGCTCCCCGACAGATTGTTCTCCGACAAATCCCTGCAAGTAAGTTCCCGTGAATCAAAGCTGGCAAAGAGCGTCGTGAATTGCAAGAGACAATACATTGCATAGATGCTTTTCAAGCTACCAAATTCAGACGGAATTCCTCCAGTGAGTTTGTTGTGTTTTAGAACACTGAGAAAAACACACACAAGAATTATTGTCAGTTCACCTCAGTTCGTGAAGCTAGCATACTTACAGCGTGAGGAGATGTTCAAGGTTGCCTATTGATCTGGGAATGTGTCCGGTTAAAATGTTTTCTGAGAGATCCCTGGTACAAATCAAGAGATTGTCAAGTTGTACCGGAAAAACTTCTGGTCTTACATTGTATCTAAGTTGACAATGTGTCCTAGTTCTTCAGGAATCCTTCCCGAAAACGAATTAGATGACAAGTTTCTATACGTTTCGCGTGAGAAACGATCGATCGAAAAAAAAAAAAGTTACGGAAACTTACAAATAAGTCAAGCTTCCCAGATCCTGAAGCTCTGGAGGCACGGTGCCGTTTAGCATGTTTCCGTGAACGTTACTGTGCGCAAAAGTATCAATAGTGACAACGGAAACGATTCAAGGAAACTTACATGTAGTTTAAGGACGAGCAGTAGCTCACATTTTTTGGAAATGGTCCAGAGAACTTGTTGTTGGAAAGATCCCTGCAATGTCGAGAAACCAAATTAGCTAGATTTCGATATATTTTACATCACTGCAAGCTCACAGCTCAAACAACTCGCTTAAGCTTCCCAGCTCGGGAGGAATCTGTCCTGTTAGATTGTTATCGTTGAGTTGCCTGAAAGAAGTAATGGCTAGTTAAGTCTTCTTTCAGGAGAAAAAAACTTAGAAAACAACAAAAAAATACTCACAAGTAGCTGAGCTTCGTCATATTTCCAAGCTCCGGAGGAATGACTCCAGTAAGCATGTTTCCATGGAGATATCTACAGCAACAAGAAATCAATCTCTCATGGAAACGAGATTCTACGCCATGGCTTACAGCTTGCCGGTGAAAGTAAGATTGCCAAGTATTGAAGGAATCGATCCTTCAAGGAAGTTGTTACTTAAATCCCTGTCAAAAGCGAGTGAGAACAAAAACACATCGCAGATAAAATCACTTACAAAACTGCCAGAGCCTGCATAAGACCGATCACGTCTGGAATTTTGCCAACAAGCTTGTTTCCTTGCAGAGACCTTTCACAAAGTAAAACAACGGCATGGATATTCTAAGAGATCAAGTAGGCTAGCTTACAAGGTTGCCACTTGCAGAAAGCCGATGTTGAAAGGAATCTCGCCAGTCAGCTGGTTATACGAGAGGTCTCTGCGGCAATTAAGTACGGAAAGAAATCAATAAGAAAGTGAACACACGACAAAGAAATACTCACAGGATCTCGTAGCTTGTGCAGTTTCCAATATTTTCTGGAATGGGACCTGTGATGTTGTTGCTCCGAATATCACTGTAAGCAATCAAGGAGAAGAAACGGTGATATAACGAGTTTGTGAGATAGAAAAGGTGTTCCAGGAAACTTACAAATACCACAGCCCCGTAAGCCGGCACATATCGGGGGACAAGTTCCCAGTCAAGAGATTATCCCTCAAACCTCTGCCAAAAGCTCGTGTCTTAGTTTCATACGAAGCAAGATCACTCGAAGCAACTCACAAGTACTGCAAAACTTCACTCCAGTAGAGCAAAGTTGGTATTTCTCCTGTCAGCTTGTTCTGTGCCAAGTCCCTGGTAAAGATTTGACGATCAGAAAAGCAAACGAGAAGAGAGAGAGAGAGAGTATTCGAACGAACAGAGTCTTAAGGTTCGGGAGCTGCGACAGCGTCGAAGGGATCGGCCCCGTAAGTTGATTGTTCTTCAGTATACTGCACAGTTTGAAGTAGCGAGAGATTCATTAGCTCTTCGAACGAAGCGCGGGTATAACGTACAGATTCTCGAGCTGCTTGAGTTGCGAGATCGAGAATGGAATATCTCCGTGGAATGCATTGAACGAAAGATCTCTGGAATAGTTCCAAACATTGAAGTACTACAAGAGAAACGCGAAAAAAGGTAAGGAACTTACATGGTTTTCAAGTTGACGCACTGCCCAATCTCATCTGGAATCTGTCCAGACAAGCTGTTCTCTCGCAAGTCCCTACACACAAAACACGCAAGAGTTATAAACTTTGTCTTCTTGGTCCCCACAACGATACGGAGGGAAAAAAAAAATTAAAGGAAGAACACACACACACTCTCTCTCTCTCGCGCGCTCTCTTTCTCTCTCTCTCTCTCTCTCTCGGTCTCTCTCGGCAACGCAAACACCACTTACAAATACTGGAGACTTTTGAGCCTTCCAAAAGCTGGCGAGATCTCTCCGGAAAGTCCCAATTGAGTCAGATTCCTGGCCGCAAAAACAAATCGCAACTTGTGTAAGTTAAAGATGGAAGATCCAGCATGAGACAAGATGGAAAAGAGAGGAAAAAGAGGAGAGGAGAAAAGAGAAGAGGAGATGGAGCCTTGCGAAGACGATGATGATGATAATGCGTGCGTTATGATCCTCCCGTGAACTTACAAGCCAATCACTGCAAGCGTGACATTATCGCAGCTGACACCCCTCCAGAAACACGGGTCGCGATCAATTGCTCCTTCCCAATCGTAGAGAACGTTGTCGGCATTGTTGAGCGATTTCTTGATCTCGAGCAGCACCACCCCTGTGAGTGAGAAGATCGATCCATGGCGAAGAAAACCCATGAAAAGAAAAAGAACTTTAGTTCATAGACTAGCGAAGAAAGACAGAAGAAGAAAGGAGATCGATCGATCGATACTGACCATCGTCTGAGAGGCCGGAAGCGCTGCCAAGAAGAGCAGCCAAGAGGAAGAGCAAAGATAACACAAAGTGGTGCATCGATCTCATCTTTTATCGCAAGCCCACTGCGAGAGCTTTCAATCGCTGCTGGTACTGCTCGCCATATCGCCGTCCTGTTCTTGCAATCTACTCTATACGAGCTCTTCTCGCTCTTCCCAGATCCCACATTCCAGGAAAGGAGCAAGAAAGGAAGAACTCTCGGCGATGGCGTGCGGATGTTGCGTGAATCTATGCTAGCTCATGATCTATCATCTATCCATCTATCAACTGGCGCTGGACTGGCGCTCTCCAGTGCTGCCGCTGCCGCCGCTGCCATCCTATCGTGCAGCCAAAGCTCTCAAGCGCAAACGTGAGAGGAAGAAGAAGAGCAAGAGACCCACATTCCTTTCTCGGCTAGAGAGAGCTCTTGGTTTCAAGGCGGAGGTGGAAGACAGAGATCGTAGAACGGAACGGGCACAGAATTCCAATCCCACCGCCACCGCGCGGCGCTCTCTCCGCCCCGCCAGCCCCGATCCAAAAATCCAATCTCCGCCAATGCTGGATGGCGACGAGCTAGCTATGCCATGAATGCCCACTGGAGCGAAATCAAGGAATCGCCACCACCACCACCATCACACTCTTTTTCGTGATGGATGATCCAGAAGGAGAAAATCTCTTCTTCTTCCTCTCAAGCTTTCTCACTCACTCTCTCTCTCTCTCTCTCTCTCTCTCTCTCACTCTGTGCTCCAAAAATCTGTGTGCCACTCACTGTCTCGTCGCTCTGCTCGCGCTGTGCGCTCTGGCCGACCTCTGCGCTGCTAGACTGCCCGTTCTTGCCAAAGACTAGTAGTCCCTCCCTCTCTCTCTCTCTCTCTCTCCTCTTTGTCCTTTGATCTCCTCCGCCATATCCCAAAACCCAATTGTTTTGGAGGAGATTTCCGATCGCTTTGCTTAACGAATCAACAAAAGCATTTCTTTTCCAGATCGAATCGATGGTTTCTTTCTTTTCCTCTCCCTCGATTATCAAAATCTCGTCTCCTCGGCAGAGCAGTGACGGCGGTGTCACATCCCGCTGACACCGCGCCCATCCTGGCGGCGCCGCGGCGGCGCCGCTCCTGTCACGTGACAGAACATTCCGTCACGCGGGACCCGGATCTCCGCCGTCCACCCGCGGCATCCAACGGCCGCGAATGTTCCTCCGTTATCCCTGACCGCCGGCCCGTGGCCGTACACCTGTGGCATGACTTAGTCCAAGCAGTTTTACTGTGGTGATAGCTAGGCTGGTCTATTCATCCAAATTAACGTAACTCTTTCTTTTTTTTTTCACATTTACTTCTTCCACTCTCCCGTATTTTTTGTGTTTATTCGCTTTTTTACGTATTCTCGTATTTCTCAGGTCTAGGCTCAACCTCTACATGCCATTGATTACGGTCTAGGCCCTATTTACTTTTCACACGTGGTTTACCCCAGCCTGGCATTCAATTTGGTTTTGTATTTTACCACCATTCTTTTTAGCTTGACTTACTATAAGCGCAATTGTCCTCAAGTGGTTAAAAGTGAAAAACAATGTTGGATTAAATGTAATCTAAGGAGACTTGGAAGACAATCCTTTCCTCCTTGTGTCGATAGAAAAGGACTGATTGTTGATGATTATTTTGGAGGCATTGCAATCATAGACAAGCACCGCCTTGTTGGTGTTTTGCTACTGTTTGGAATCGAACTGGAATTCCTTTGTCTAGATTATTTCTCGGGCAAAGTCAAAGGTGGTGGTGAATGTGAGAGCCCCAGCTAAGGTAAAGGTGGCCAAAGTGATTTTCCTCTCAAACACACCACATGGAGTGAGCGACTTGTTTAACTTGACGCCCATCTTTGCATAAACTATCCAAAAACAACACCTAAACCCCCAGAAAAAAATGTAAAAAAATTTCTAGCTTTCTCCACGCAACTGCATGCATTGAATACAAGCAAGGTGGGCCTCGCATGTTAGAAATAAAAAAACAAAGGAAAAACACTCACTCACACAAAAGGAGGCCTTTTAAATGGAGCTTGAATCGCTCCTCTCTTTCACCTCCTGAGCGAGAAGTCCGTCCTGGGTCCTGGCTGGCTGTTTCCAAATAGTTTTAAAGCTGGTCTGGTCTCTCTCATCCATCACACTATAATTTTCCAGGTCAGGAAGAAATCAAAACAAATCGAAGAGATCTCTACGAACCTGGGGGCAGAGGGAAAGGCAAAAACAAATAGGCGACGTCGCAAACAGCACAGAGGCGCTTGGCTTGGCCGTAAAGAGAATCTCTCCAGGCGTTCTCATCAATGCTTTGTTGCAAGTTTCTTCACACCCTTCCTTAAGAAACAGCATTTCCATTTTCTTTTTCTTCTTTCTCTCTGCTGGAGAGCCTGCTCGTGCTGAATTACAACCATGTTATCGTTCCCCTGCAACAAAAGGAATTCACAGACATTCTTAGAGCCAAGGAAAGAGTTTCGTAAAGCAACTTACGAGCGAAAGATGATGGATTCAACGGAATATCGTTTGTTTGGTGGCAAGAGGAGTTGCGTGCTTGCTTTGCTGACAGTCACTCTGATGGCTGTTTGTCGAGCTCAGTTTCTTCCGCCTCCAGCAGCACTACCACCACCACCAGCACCAGGACGCAATTGCAATTTGCTATCGGCTCTCGCTTGCCTCTTGCCAGGAGCTCAGCCTGGCGACTGCTGTCACGATGTGAGCGACATTCTTGCAACTTGCTTGTGCTCGCTTTCCCCCTTGAATGGCACGACACCCGTCGAGCTCGATGTCACCTTCCGTATCACTCCCTCTTGCTCAATTCGCGTAAACTTGGGCACACCATGCACTTGACAGCATCATTCGCGAACAGCCTACAAACAAAAGAAAGAAGAAAGAAAGAAAAAAGTTTCACAGAAGAGAGATAGAAAAAAATAAAGAGAAATGGTTCGTACCTTCTACAACGCCAAAGTTCCAAATCCTCCGTCTCCTAAAGTTGTATCAACGCTCTCAGTCGTCTCGTCATCCTCCACATGTTGCTGTACAATGCACGCTATAGTCCTGCTTGTAAATCCCTCCAGTCCGCAGTCCCGCCAAAGAGTTAAATACAAACTCAGCTGTCTTAGGAGGACCATTTCCCCTTCACGCCTTGTTGCTGCCTAGCCTCACCTGGGAAGGAAAGAATTTAGGAAGACACTGCAAGTAGACTCATCTGTCTTTGTTGCTCATTGCTCCGTTGTTTTCGGACACCCGCTGTAGATACTGTACTTGCGTGGTTGTCGAAATGAAGACGTCGTTTGAGCTCTCGCCAAGAACAAATTCAAAGACCCGTAAGGATATCAACTTAAACAATATCGAAAGAACGGTACCGTCACAAGTTAAAGGCATCGATACAAGCCTCCAGTGTTCTACAATCGCAATGCTTACGACGAGCTGCACAGCCGACCAAACAAGCTAGCTCCCCCAGAGAAATTCAAAAAATATTCAGGCAACAGGGATATTTCTCTCGTTGACAAACCTTCGCGAGCTCTCTGCACAAAACACAAAACAGTTTTATCAGGTAGTTAACTATCAGCGGATACATACTGCGTACTTGGGGGTGTCACAGATACCGAACGCTCATGAATTCAGCCCTGCAGCCAGCTAAGATAGACACATCACTAGAACTTTAGCATTCACGCATTCGGGGTTCATATCAACACCATCATTGCCTACAGGTGGTACCTCCGAGCGGAGAAGATGTTTCAAAAGAGAAACGAAAGAAACAAAAATGAAGAACTGACCGAGTCTATTGTGAAGAGATGTAAAAAAGTAACGTACCTCTAGCATATTCAGACTCGTTCAATTCCGCTGGCACCGGGAAAAGCTTTTGTAGCCTTGGCAGCGGAAGATGCCATTGCGCAGGCCTTGGAAGCACGAACAAACTTTGCTCGGAAAGAGCATAGTTACGTTACGGTGCTTGCGTTGCGTTTTCAAATGTCCCTATCTTCTGATTCAGCGACAAAAAAGATGAAAGGAACCAATCGTCAGGATGCTGTGAGCATCTCAAGAGTACCTTGCCTGTAGTGTTCATCCAGGCAAAGGGAAAAAATATGTGCCGCGAAGAGCTCCCCATTGAACGAAGCTGAAAAAAACACTGTTTTCTTCACCAAGTTCCTGCGAAGGGACGTACCTCGACGCACAAACTTAAGATTGAACTGCGCAATACTACTATCTTCGCTCCCGGATCATGGTCCTGGAACTCAGACATATCGTCCAAAGTCTTAACTTCTCCAGTTGGAAAGCTTAAAATCCAGGATGATCCAGCATTGAGTTGATAAAACAAACATCCAGAAACTTTTCCTACTTGCTCAAAAACTTTCTTACCCTCCAATAGATCAAATTATCCAATACAACTGCTACATCTTCGCTGCCGGATCCTGGAACAACTCCCTGATCTAAGTTTTAAGTTTAAACTCAAAATCCAGAATGATCCAGCATTCAGTTGACGCTGACTGGAAAACAAACCATCCGGAAACTTTTCCTACTTGCTCCACAAAATTTCCTTATCCTCCAATAGATCAAGCTGATGGGGACTTCTCATCCACCGGATGAAGCAAGCAGCTCTACAAAACAAATGCTGGAAATGCAAACATCCATTCACAAGCAAGGCACCACGTAGAAGCGCTTCTTCTCGAATAGATCGCCGAGAAGGATCACACACCTGAGAAACGAGATCGCCAATGAACCGCCATAGCCAAGCACCTAGACCTAAACCTAAATGTTCCCGCCAAAATCCAAAAAACACTGGTCAATCCAGGAGATCTCTTGCGTGGTCCACACTCAAGATAGATTTCCCTCGCGGCTTTGTATACACGTATGACCCTTTGAAATCGTGGCTTCCAAAGCCACCAATGAAACAAGCACACCTCGATCTCAAATATATGTAAATCAAAGAGCATGGCCACCTTTTAGCACGATGGGGGCTGGCGCGTTGATTATTCTTTCCAATTTCCTGTTGCGCCCCGTACGTACGGCTTGACGTGGTGGCCATTCTAACCGTACAAACACGACCTGACCCGGGGAAGGAATCGATCCGCGCCGCCCCCAAAAGGAAGAAAAAGGAGGCATCGTTTCACCTTTTGTTAAGGGGGCACATGCGCCACCATGTGTCCACTTGCCAGATTAAATCACACTCTTGCAACGCTTAGCTCTGATCTAAATTAGGTTAGCTTTGATGCGAGAGAGAATTGACACAAAGGCAAAGTTTTAGGAGGCAAACAACATTCCTCCACTCCCGCGCGAGTGGCATATTCTGTCCGCTACCCGACAGCGGCTGCCGCTTGCCGGCATTTGGTCGACCGTAAAATGGAAAGACACGTGGCGTGTGAGCTGTGGATGTGGCACCTGGCGTGGGTTCGATTCTCTCCGACCACTCGTGTCACGCTTTTGTTTCTTGCCATTTCCGCTGATGGTGACAAAGGAAGCGTATCTCGGAGATATTCGCCCATTTCAAAAGATTGGGTTTATTCAACGTCAACCTGCATGTGACCAAATGCCCAATGGATCTCTGCGATTTAATTTTTTCGTTACCCCAGATTGAGATTATATCATTGTTTTCGAACCATGCAATCCAATGCTAGCAATTTTTATCGATCATCCACAAAAGCAGCCGATAGCAACTTCCATGTGTGTCCACTCATTAGCCCAAACCCCGAGGAAATGCGCATGATTATCCCCGACGAGGGCATTTTTCTCTTTTCCGCAAGCCAAGGGGCCAACCCTCCACTCCATATGATTTGTAAAATATGCCCAATGGCGGCAAAGTTTAGGTCGTCTTCGCGTCTTCGTCTTTCCTGGGGCTGAGAGTTCAATGAAAACGCTCCATTTGTTTTCTCTCGGATTGACTGCTGCCCAAACCATAAACAAATGCCCCGGGCATTACAAAATTCCCCCGCAATGCTTTCCTTTGGAAGATCCGATCTCTTCGCCTCTCTCTCTCTCTCTCTCTCTCGTCCCCTCGCTGCGTAACTCGTTTGTCATGAATGACATAACCCCCCTAATGCACACATGTGACAATTGTCGTTCGTGGAGGCATAGGGGGCTCAAGAAATGCATGACCCGCTTAAGAACTTTTTAGGGTTCTTGGGTAACTTAGTTAAGTTTAAACCGTTGGAATGGAAGCGAAGATTGGAAGAGTTTAATCAATGGTTGAGGGAATGATGGCATGAGAGTAGGTGGCTCGCATTTAAAGCCTCGCAGGCTCTGACTGCCCTGCCAGAAGTCCCATGCCCTTGCTGTATTGTACTTCGTATGGTGGAGGGCCTCGTATTATCCAGTGAATATGCGCCTGATACCAGCGTTTGGCCGCATCTGCTATTTGGCTAAGGCTGTGGGTGGTGGGTTATTGTGGTTAGGTGGGCTGGTATTGGTACTGCTATCTCTCTAGCTAACTTATCTGGCAAGGTTTCACCACGCCCGCCCCCGGTCAATGACAAGGTAATTTTCCTTTTTTGTTTTTACCGTGCCCTGCCAAGGGTGTAAAGGAAGGCCAGGTGAGATATTTCTTTGTTTTTTAATGTAAGACCGGTGACGCGTCAGGCGCTCGATTCCCTGCCGGGTTTTAGGGTTTACGTTGGACGCGTGGAATATTCGCGGGGCATATAGTTTTGCTCCTTGAATCCAGGCATCAAGTTTGCAACCTAAACCTCTCGAGGGAGAGAGAGCGAGAGAGAGAGAGAGAGAGGAGATGTGGGATGCTAATCCATTTTCCCTCTACTTAGCTACAGTAGAGTGAGCGATTTTGGATTGGATTGGATTGGAAAGCTCGCTTTCTTTCTTTCCCACAAAGACGATTGATCAATCCATCGATCGCGTCGAGTGATTGATGGGGCAAGCTCTGGAACAGGATGAGGAATTGATGATGATCCATTGGAGTGGCAGCACTGGCAGCCGCGGTAGCATCCAAGCTCTCAATTTGCCCACAGCTCTCTTGAACAGCAAGCATTGCCGCCGCAGCAGCGATACTTCCTCCACCATGGCTCAAGAGCAGCAGCGCCGCGGATCCTCCGAGCAGCAGCAGCAGCAGCGCATCCAGCTGCCTGTAGAGATCCAATCCAAACACCCCAAAATCGATCTTCCAGGCTTGATTGCTTGAGCCCAACTATCACTTTTGCTTTGTGTGCCCTGCCAGTCTTGTGTGTGTTTTTGCCTGCTCTTCCACAGCACCTTTAAAGCTGCCTCCTCCTTTTTCTTATCACCCAAGCATTTAACTTAGAGAAACTCCCGGAAGAACACACGAGATCCATTCGAGAGTGTGATCTCTCTCTTCTTCACGTTTCCTTCTACTAAGTTCTTCCGGCAAAACTATATAGTTCCTCCTTCCTTAGAGTGAGGAGGGAATCGCAGTAGCTATCCCACCCCTGGATCCATCGTTCTCGATCGATTGATGCCATGGATTTCAGCTTGAGCGGCTCCGTGGAGCCGGGCGGCGACGTTCGCATCCTCAAGCAATGTAGACCCATCCTGGAGCTGGGCGAAGATCGCCACGAGGGAAGCCGATCGATGAAGCTGTCCAGGACGGACTCCTTCTCCTCGGCCAGGCAGCAGCAGCAAGAATCCAATTCGTCGCCCTCCCCCGACGATCACCACAGCAGCTCCGCGTCGCTCCTGGCGGATCCGGGAGGGATGCTCTTCCAGCAGCAGTACTCGCGGCATTTGTTCCAGCAGCAAGGAGGATCATACCCATTTGCCGGCGCGATCAAGCAGCAGCCACACTCCATCTCCTCTCCAGGTACCACCTTGTTTTGATTTCTCTCGATCGAGCGCGTAAGAAACTTGATGATCATGGCTGGATGGATTCGTGATGCACAGCGTTCCAGCAGCAGCAGCAGCAACAGCTCCACTACTTCCCATTCACAGCGTCGCAGTGGGCGGAGCTAGAACACCAAGCGCTCATCTTCAAGTATATGATGGCCAGAGCTCCAGTTCCTCCCGAGCTCGTCATTCCTATCCGCCGGAGCTTGATCCTCTCGCCCTCCTCCGCCACGAACTGTAAGCTCTCCTTCTCCTGGCAAAGCTTCTATATCCTCTAGAGTGTTTGATCGATCTTCTCGTGGTGGGCTTGTTTCCTACTGTTTGCTTTATCGTGTTTCGTGAGTTCCAGATTGCAAACATGCTATCTCTTTGTCTGTGGGTCCAAAGATGGATCACTGCTCGTACTGTTCCTGCCTTTAAACTTGGAGGATCTCACTTTGTTTCCTCTCGATCGCCATCTCACGTTTGTGTTCTTGGTGAAACTTGCGAGCAGCAGCATGGAGCGGGTTCCAGATTGGAGTTGGATCGGGCAGCCCCATGGACGCGGAGCCCGGGCGGTGCCGAAGAACAGATGGGAAGAAGTGGCGGTGCTCCAGGCCGGTGGTGGCGGACCAGAAGTACTGCGAGAGGCATATGCACAGGGGGAGGAACAGATCTAGGAAAGCGGCGGAAGCAGCGGCGGCCGCGGCGGCCGCGGCGGCAGGAGCGGGATCCAACTCCGCCGCCACCGCCGCCACCGCCACTTCCGCCACCAACAATGGCGGTGCCAGATCGTCGGCATTGTCACACCAGAGTAGCAGCGGCAGCAAAGGTGGTGGTGGTGGTGGTGGGATGGTTGGTGGTGGGATCATGGAGACTGGCATGGGATCATACCACTATCCTCTCCAATCAGCTGGAGATCTTGCCGCTAGCAAAGATCATCAAAGGTGAAAAAAAACTCTTCCATCTTTTTTTTGCTGCCTTGCGTGTCTGTTTGGCTTGCTTGCTACTTCTTTGTTCTTGGCTGGATCAAGATTGAAATTTGGATGGATGAGCGACTGGGAAGATCACTGATCTGTGAAACTTTTTTTTTTTTTTTTTTTTGGGGGTGGTGCTCTTGTGAATTCCATGGTTTTTTTTTTTGTCTCTCAGGTTTGTGAATGGAATGAGTAAAGCAACGTTTGATCCTTTGCGTCCCGAGCAGCTGCTCTTTGCGGAGGTTTCTGGCAGCTGCACCAGGCCTCTAGGCGGCGGCGGTGGCGGAGGAGGAGGAGGAGGAGGAGGATCGTCGTCGCCACCCAAGATCATCGCTGGATCCGAGCACCACAACTTCGGGAGCATGCAAATCTTTGGACCATCGTCGCAAGAACACGAGGAGCTGAGCAAAAGCCCTTTGATCCGAGGCATCGAGCGCAAGCCCGAGGCGCTGCGCCACTTCTTCGACGACGACTGGCCCCGAGATTCCAACTCCATGCCCGCCACCAGCCATGACAAGCTCGCCATGCATTGCTTCAAGAGCGTTCCATCCACTGGGATCCTCTCCCTGGCGCTGGAAGAGCAAGAACAAGGGGGCGATCACGATCGCTACAAGGCACGATACGATCATCGAGACAACGAGGACGATCACGAGCACGAGCTCGAGGAGGAGGAGGATCCCTACACCAACATCAGCCTCGCCAGGATCTCCTCCTCCTCCGGCGCCAGCGGCGATTTGCTGTCGGATGTTCTTCTCAAATCCTCGTCGTGCAAGCCTCCCGCCGGCGGCAATGCGGTGGGATTCGAGCAGCAGCAGCGCAAGAAGATGATCCTGGCGTCGCCCACTGGCGTACTCCAGAAGCTGACGTGCTTCTCGGATTCCAGCAGCAGCGCCAGCAGCCCTGGATCGGTGAAGAACGATGCGAACCACGCCCACTGAACGAGTGTGAGAGAAGAGAGAGACGAGAGTTTGTAAGAACCCTAGATTCTTGGAAAGAGAGAAGGTTTAGGGTTTGTGTGGATTGATCGATGCGAGCTTCCTCTGGAGCTGCGTTGAAGGAATCCGAGGTCTCGCGCTACGCCAGGCTCTTGCAGGAATGCTGCTCCAGGCGCAACGTTTCCGAGGGGCGGCGGCTCCACGACGATCTTCGCAGGTCCGGCTATGGCGATAGCAGCTATCTGCGGCGCTGCGTCGTCCAGATGTACGCCAAATGCGGCTGCCTGGCCGATGCCAAGGCGGCATTCGACGAGATCGCGGACAAGAACGACTTCGTGTGGAATCTCATGATCTCTGGCTATGCCAGGAGCGGCAAGAACAGGGAAGCTCTGGAGCTCTTCCACAAGATGGACATCCCGCCGAATGGATTCATCTTTGCGAGCGCTCTTGCGGCTTGTGCCGGGCTGGGGGATCTGGAGCAAGGCAGGGAAATCCACAAGAGAGTTCTCGAGTCGCGATCCATCGCCAGCGACGTGGTCGTCCAGAACTCGCTGGTGACCATGTACGCCAGGTGTGGTAGCGTACTGGAAGGCATCAAGATCTTCGACGCCATGCCAAGGAAGAACTTGGTGTCCTGGAACGCCATGATCTCGGCTTTCGTGCAGTGTGACTATCCCGAGCAGGCACTGGAGCTCTACCATCGGATGAAGAGGGAGCGCTTGGAGCCGAATGGATTCGTCTTTGCGAGCTTGCTCACGGCCTGTGCGTCGCTAGGTAACTTACAACTTGGTTCTTCCATCCACCAGCGTATAACTTCTCTTGGTTTGCAGCGTGACATTGTCATGGAGAACGCTCTCATCAACATGTACTCCAAGTGTGGCTGCATGGACGAGGCGCTCGAGGTTTTCAGCGGGCTTGCGACCAGAGATGTCTTTACATGGACGTCGATGATCGCTGGCTATGCGCAGCTTGGATTCGGCAGCGAGGCTTTCGCTTTCTACGATAGAATGCGGCGAGATTGCGTCTCGCCAACTTCCGCTACCTTCGTCGCGCTGCTGTCCGCGTGCTCGACGTTAGAGCAAGGTAAGCATCTCCACGAGGAAGTCAAGGCTTTTGGTTTCGAATCGATCACTGTTGTGGAGACTGCGCTCATGTTCATGTATTCCAGGTGTGGGAGTCTGGAGGACGCGGAGTTCTTGTTTGCGAAGATGCAGCAAAAGGACTACGTGAGCTGGTCAGCCATGGTAACGAGCCATGCACAGTTCGGCGACCCCGGTAAGGCGCTGACGCTTTTCAGGCAGATGATTCTCGAGGGAATGCAGCTGAGCTTGCCAACTTTTTGCAGCGCACTCCAGGCCTGTTCGCTAAAGCGAGATTCACGGTTGAGCAAAACGATCCGGGAACTTATTGATTGGAGTGGGATAGATAAGATGGATTCCATACGGGCAGATCTTGTCTCGGCGTACAGTAAGTGTGGTGACATGGAAGAGGCACGGAAGATATTTGATAGAATGGAGAGCCGGGATGTCCTGACTTGGACAGTCATGATAAAAGGCTACGCGCAACAAGGTGATTCTAAAGCGGCACTGGAATTGTTCCATAGGATGAAGCCTGAAGGTGTGGAGCCGGATAGCGTGTCAGTTGCCGAAGCCATCATGGCTTGCTCCATTGAGGGGGACTTGGAGCAGGGAAATTTTTTGGCGATGAAGCAGGATTTTCGATTTCAGCCGATAGGAAACGCTCTGCTCAGTCTGCACATCAAATGCGGCTCCGTGAAGGAAGCGTTGGAAGTTTTCGATAGGACAGAGGAAAAGGACGTCGTGACATGGACACTTATGCTAGAGTGCTACTCGCAGCAGCAGCAGCGGTGTGGGGATTACAGCACCGAAGCCTTTGGTCTCTATCACAAGATGCTTTTGGAAGGGAAGGAGCCGAGCTATACGACATACGCGGCCGTTGTTTCGGCGTGCTCCCCTCAAACGTTTCGACAAGGCAAGGCTGTTCACAGGAGGATCATCGAGTGTCAACTGGAACGACTGCCGGATATTGCCGTCGCGCTTGTCAACATGTACTGCAAGTGTGGGAGTGAGCAAGAGATCAGGGAGGTGTTTGCCAAGACGAGGCAGCAAAACAAGGTGGTCATGTGGAACGCGGTGATAGCAGCTTTTAACAGGCATGACAGTGGCGAAGAGGCCATCAGAGTGTATCGGGAGATGGTCTTGGAGGGGCTGTCACCGAGCGTCGTCACGTTTATGAGCGTCCTGAGTTCCTGTGCTCGAGTGGAAGATCTGCGAACCGGAAGAGAGGTCCATTCCCGTGCTCTAGCCTGCGGGATGCTACCAGACTTCGTGAAGAACGCGTTGATCACCATGTACGCGAGGTGCAACGCCTTGGGCGAGGCAAGGCAGGTGTTTGAGAGCGTGGGGGAGAAGTGTACCGTAACTTGGACCGCGTTGATTGGAGGCTGTGTCTCGGCTGGGAACGAGCGAGAAGCTCTCAGTCTGTTCAAGCGGATGGATTCGGAACCAGACGAGGTGACGTTCTCGTCCGTTCTTCAGGCGTGCTCCAACTTGGAAGATGGCAGAGAAGTCCATGCTCGCATCCTGGCGGCACAGGGAGGAAAGATGTCCGACTTCCTTGGGAACGGTCTCATCAACATGTACGCGAGGTGTGGGAGCATGAGAGACGCGAGACAGATCTTCGAGAGCATGGATAGGAGCAGCAGGATCTCGTGGTCCGCGATCATGACACTGTGTGCTCGGCACGGACAGCACGACGATATCATTGACACCTACAGGCTGATGGTCAACGAGGGAGTTGTGCCGGATGGAGTTACGCTCATCGCCATCCTCAACTCGTGCAGCCACGCGGGGCTGACCGACGAAGCGTGCCACTACTTCACTTGGATCATCTCCGACTTTGAGCTGCCACACTTGGACGAGCATTACCAGTGCATGGTGGATCTCCTGTGTCGGGCAGGACGGCTGGACGAGGCGGAGGAGCTCATCAGCATGATCGACCGGCCAGACGTTGTGACTTTGAACACGATGCTGGCGGCTTGCAAGAACCAACAGGACCTCCACCGCGGAGCAAGAACAGCGGCTCAGATGCAATCCACCGAAAGCTGTGCGGCTCCGTTTGTCCTCCTCTCCCAGATCTATGCCGGGGAGCATCACAACACCCCAGTTCCTGGCTAGAGAACCGCCACAAAAGCCAGGTATGTCTCTCCAGGATGGCTCTAAAAGTTTCCTTCTCTTTTTCTTCAGAGTTTCGTCCTCCTTCAAAGAAGAACCTTTGGAGAAGTTCTCGTCCGGAGAAGTTCTCGTGGTCTGGAATCACAACACAACAAGGACTGATGGCGTCATTGACATTCACAGCAAGATAGTCAACTCGAAAAGCATTTGTACCAACGATGGAATTCCGGAGCAAGTCATCGCTAGCGATGTATACAAGTGTCAAAGTCTGGATCAAATACAAAAACCCACTGGAACCTTCCCGTTCTCTCACACACAAAACACCATCTCACGCCATCTCATCTCCCTGAGTTGTATCCCTTGGTATCTTTCTTTTCTTTTTCTCTACAAGTTACTCTCCTCCTCTCTCAGATATTATACAACCTTCCATATGAAAGTGTGTCCTGCGGCTAAACTTTGTGTCACCACCATGGAGCTCGCTGGAAGTTCTTCCGGATCGTTCAAGCAAAGTTGGAACTTGTTCAAGCCTTTTGCAAGTCGGTGAGCGAGAATGATCGGCAGCTCTTTTGCCACTGCTTTGCCGTGGCGAAGCATTCGTCGCTGCCGTCGAGCCTGTCACCCTTGGTGGACATGGCGAGCGCCAGCGTGAGCGTCGTCCCGTTGGAGGAGATTGGCTTCTTGGAGATCCCAGTGGAGATCCGGGGTGGTGGAAACCTGGGCTTGGACTCCATCCCTTCGCGGTGGGACGGAAGCTTCCTCCTCTTGGAGTATGGATTCTCAGGCTTGCCCAAGTCCTTCATGCACATCGATTTCACGTCCGCCAGCGATGTGAAGGAACGAGATTTTCCAACGTAGAACTTTGACAGCCCCCTCCTGGAAGGAACAAAGCGTGAGCAAACAAGCTATGGAGGAAAACAAGAGCAAGCTAGCTATGGAGGAAACAAGAACTTGGAGCAAACCTGACTGGGAGAGTGGTCATCAACGAATCCATTTGATCCAGGGGACCTTTGAACGCGCTCTGGACCTCCTTGTCGTCCGACTCGTCCGAGCTCTCGTTGGAGATGGAGGATGTGACGAGCGACGAGGACGACGATGGCATGTTAGTCGTTTCCAGTCCTCCTGGCGGCGCCACAACAAGTTCCACAACTTCCACCTTGGTCAGGGGCAAGTCCTCGTCCGGTTTAGAAGCTCCGCCACTCGGAGTGGTGGTGGTGGTGGCGGCGATGGTGGCGGAGGAGGAAAATCTCTGCTTTGGAGCTGGAGGAGGAAGACCCTGTTGCATGAACCTGGCGGCCGTCTCGGGCCGGCAGAGAAGCTTGCGAAGGTTTAGCCCATCGCCAGCTGCTTGGTGAGCCTGGACTTTGTATCCCACGGTTGGGCCCGATCCTATCTCCCAGCTCTGGTAGGCAATCGACATTCTTCCTTTCAAAGGGATGGATTCGCCTCGATCTGCAAGGAAGATCGATGAGAACCTCCATCTTTGGTCGAAAAGAGAAATAAAGAGAACCAGCTTACCCGGTAAGGAAGAACAAAAGAAGAACTTGTTATCAGCCCTTGAAGAGGCTCTGGCGATTCTGGATCTTCCTGCGAGCAAGCTGGCGGGCGAGGCGCGGCCTTACGCAATCCAGAGGCCTGTTCCCTTCGGGATCCGTCAGCAGGCGAGCGCGCATTTGGCAGCAGCAGCAGCCGCGCGACAATCCTCCCATTCACACCGCAGCAGCACCAATTCTTCCCTGTGATCGCGCGCCACCGAAGCCACCGTAGACGGCCTTTGATCGATCGCCGCAACGCGAAGAAGGCGAACAACAACCAAACCAAACCAGAACAAAAAACGCCCCAAATCGTCCTCCGACCCACCAGCGCCGCGACGCGATTCGCGATTGATGGGTCTCGTGGGTCGATCCCCAAAAGCCCTCTTTGGCGACCCGAGAAGAGAAAAGCGCGAGAGATGGCGAGAGATGGCGAGCGCGAGGTGGAGATGGAGAGGGCTTTCCTTGCTTCCTTCCTCTCGCGAAGATAAGGATGAGAGGAAGAAGAAGAAGAAAAGAAGAAAAGGAGAGAAAAGAGATCAAACACGCTATGAAGCGAGGGAAGGAACCAGTCTTCCGTGGCAGCAACCTAGTAGTGAGCCACTATAATTATATTACCCAATCCCCGATTAAGCCAATTAAGCAGCCGAGCCAAAGCTTATCCACATTGGATGAAAACTTCCTATCAAAATAGCTCATAACGCTTGAAATTCTTTTGATTTTTCTGTAAACGCCACTGTTGTAGATGATAGGTGAGTGTATGTCAAGTGTTTGGTATCTTTGTGTTGGGTCCCCTTGGATAGGGACTCTAGAGAGGTGTGCACCAATCCTGCCACCCCATTGGCCAGCCCAGAGGTTAAAAAGGTGAAGAAGGTTTTTAACCTTTACCTGCCTGCCATTATTTTCACCCTTGCTTAGGGCAAAAGCAAGCCCCAGCCCTAGAGTTTGATCCATCTTTGCATGCATGTGGCCACCTGTTCTCGATTCCACACATGGCTAGAGGGCGACACGTGGAGGTGCGGATAAGGTAGCATTCATTGGCTCGCGTACGGACCCGTTGTCTCCCCCCGTCCGTACCGTGAAGTTTCCTGGGAGAAAGCGACCAATGTGCCGCTGCGATGGTTTTTTTGATTACACACCGATTCTTTTGTGGCCGCGACTTGTCAACAGCAGCATCTTTGGGGCATTGAAAGCTGGCGAGCCCGCGCTTCGTTTTTGGCGTGGACGAATGGATGGATCGATCCATTGGAACGAATCGGTCGTGGTGTTGTGGAGGAGCCTCGATCGAGCGCTTGGCTTGGCTTGGCTTGGCTTGAGATAGACCAAGAAGAAGAAAAAAAAGAAGAAACGAGGAAATAAAAAGAGAGCTTTGTCTAGTTGCGGTTGTTGAATGGGAGAGCATCTTGGCTTTTGGCGGGTGCTATGCAACTTGCCAGATGCCCAGATGCCGGAATCTCAGCGATTTTTCTTTTTTAACGTTGTGCTGCCTTGAATCCATCTCTCTGCTTTTCTTTTTCTTTTTTTGTTTCTTTTTTCTTGCTTTTCTTGTCTTCCAATTCTCCGTCCGTTCCATCCAACAATCAATCTGGCCAACTTTTTGCGCTGCTCACTCTTCCTGTTATCCACAAACGTGTTTTAAAAGCTTGTCCACCAGAATTTGTGATCCTGCGAGGATTTATTTGACTTTGTCTATGCGATGCGATAGATGTTTGTCCGCTACCAGCGAAAAGATATGCCTTTGGGAGATTTTGCCGCTTCCACTACTTCGACGTGGTGGTGGCGCAAGCGAAGTGGCAACCTCCCTCCCCTCGATTAGAAAATCACTTTTGTTTGGATTAAACAATCGCGAGCCGTGTTGACGAACGCCGGGGGAGCACTCACTGTTATAAAGAAGTTGCTCCAAACTCAAAGTGAAACTGATGCACTGCACAAACAGTGAGAGAAAAGGAGAAAACGAGGAATCAGATCTGCCATCCATCCAAAACGAATGCACTGAGAAGATACAATCCTCTTTTTTCTTCTTGCGCGGAGTTTCTTCGTTCGAGGCTCGGCTGCTTCGACGAAACCGTGACGGTCAAACTTCAGAGTGTGAGAAACAATCTAGAACTTCCAGCGTCGCTGTAGCTCCAATCTCATTGTCTTCCAGCGCGCTGACTAGCCTGCATTGCCGAGAAAAATTCGTAAGTTAACTCATTCTCGAGCAAAGTTTTGCTCCATGCTTGAGTCGCGGTGGAGATAAGAACCTCAGACTATTGTCGGCGACTGAGTTGAAAGGACCAAGCAAGGAAACAAAGAACTCGATCAGATTCACAGTACCGTGTTCCTTATTTTTATCTTCTTCTTGATGGTACAAGGATGTAGAGATTGCCCAGAGCCTGACAACTTCCACAAGAAAGTTTTCTTTTTTAGAAAAGCTGCCCTCTCGTGATGAAAATCGTAATCGTACAAGCTACTCGGCTCGTAAAATATCCCCTTTGCAAAGCCTACAAGAAGGAGACACGAAAAATCATGTACTATGGATTGAGAGCCTTCGAAATCTCTTTGTCAGGAGGATAAGGATGATCCATCGCAGCAAGAGCCCTAAACCTAATTCCCAACGGTTATCTCTTTTTTATTTTTCCAAATTTTAAATGTTATCGACTGTTTGACTAGCAATTGACCATTGACCATTGCTTGACTTGACACTGTCTAGCTAAGGTGGTGGACCTTGGGCACGCCATACACCGGCGTCGCGATTCCCTCCATCCTCGCCTTGAGCTGTAGCGCCAGATAGAGCGAGTAGTGACGAGCCTGGTGGAGATTCCCACCATGGAACCACAGCCCTTCCTGCGCGGTGGGCTTCCACATATTCCGGAGCTCCCCCTCCCACGGCCCGGGATCCTTGCGCGTGTTCGATCCCAGCCCCCAACACTTGCCCACGCGATCCGCCACCTCCTGGGAGATTAGCTTCGCGGCCCATTGGTTCATGGATCCGTACCCCGTGGCCAGAATCACCACATCGGCCGCGATCTCCGTACCGTCGCTCAGCACCACCGAGCTCGGCTTGAGCGACGCGATGGTGACGCCACTGCGTAGCTTGATCTCGCCGTCGATCAACAGCTGGGATGCGCCCACGTCGATGTAGTAGCCGGATCCACGGCGGAGGTACTTCATGAAGAGCCCCGAGTCGTCGTCGCCAAAGTCGAGCATGAATCCAGTCTTGGTGAGCGCGGCGTAGAAATCCTTGTCGTGGGCTCGGATCGCATCGGAATTGCATCGCTGGGCATCGCCCATGATCTTGTATGGCAAGCTCGCGAAGATCATGTCGGCCTTGTCAGTCGTGATCCCCGACTCTACCGCCGATTCCGAGTAGATCTCCTGCGTCAGGAAGCGGAAAAGCGACTCCGATCGAACAACGTGACTGGAGGATCGCTGGATCATCGTCACCTCCGCGGCGCCATTCTCCCAGAGATCGGCGGCGATGTCGTGGGCCGAATTGTTGGATCCCAGGATCACCGCTCTCTTCCCCTTGTAAGCTTCGCCTCCCGGATGCTTGCTCGAGTGATGGAGATCGCCCACGAATTCCTCCTGCCCGGGAACCCGTGGCACATTGGGAAATCCTGACATCCCGGTCGCCAGGATGAGCTGCTTGGGTCGCAAGGTTACCTCCTTGCTCCCATCTCGCAGGATCTTCACCTCCCACTCTCCGGACTGTGGATCCAATCGAGCTCCCAGGCACTCGCTGGAGGTCCAGTAGTTGATCTCCATGATCTTGGTGTACGCCTCCAGCCAATCTCCCATCTTGTCCTTGGGCGCGAAGATCGGCCAATTCTCCGGGAATGGCAAATAGGGGAGATGATCATACCACACCGGATCGTGGAGGCACAGCGATTTGTAGCGGTTCCTCCAGGAATCGCCCGGCCGCGGGTTCTTCTCTACAACAATGCACGGCACGCCGAGCTGCCGGAGCCGCGCGGCAAGCCCGATACCCGCCTGCCCGCCCCCGACAATGACGCAATAGGGCTGCACGGTACTGCCCAGCGTCCGCTCATCTTCCTTGCGCCCGTCCAGCCATGACGCGCGGTGCCGTATGACGCCGTGCGTCACACCGTTGGGCCGCGTACGGCCCTTCTTCTCTGGGAAATCCCTGAGCCCCTCCATGGCGGTGAGTAGCGTACGGCAGAGGGAAGTAGTGGCCACTAGGCGCAAATGCCCCGTACATACCGCGACGCGCGTCTCGAACTTGATCCAGGCCTCGATGACGCCCGAGTCCGCGCTGTAGTTGGCGGTACCGTGGCGGGTCCAACCCTTGGGCGCGACCGATTCGAGCGTAGATTCGAGCATGGAGTGGATCTGTGACCGGCCCTCGACCGTGACGATGTTCCAGGTGAACGCGATGAGATCTCGCCAGAAAGAAGTGGATTCCTCGAAGAGATTGGCAGCGGCCGATGGGTCGCCGGAGGCGAGAGAGGAATCCAATCTCGTGAGCCAGGCATCGACGAGGGCGTCTGGATCGATCTTGGGCGATCCATTCATGGTGGCCATGGGAGCTAGAGATTTCTAAGTGCTCAAGCTATACCTTATAACAGCGCTCCACTGTCTGGAACACCCCCAGAAGACTTTTATCGCGTCGTTGTGTGTGTGGGAGCTATATAGAAAATATTCGGCGAATCAACTGCTCGTCATGGTCCAAACGGACAATCCGCTGGAGTTGACAAGAATATCTTAAAAATATTTTAGCACAATAAAGAATATTTTTTTAAGGTTTTAGTATTTTAAACTAAAATAATCATTTTAAATATTTAGATCTGTATAAACTTCCAGTTAGTGGCAATAGTTGCTATTTAATAGACATTTTGCTTTATTAACTAGTTTACAGAAGAAAATATTATTTTTAATATTTAATAATTAGTATTATACTAATTATTTAAGTTAGCATCCTCTAATTTATAATGTATATTTATATTTAATTTTTTTTTACTATAAAATTCCTATTATAAGATATGTTGTTTTAGATGTAATTTATAAATAAAAACTTATTTATAATATATGAAATTCAAATACAATAGCAATATCTAATTATTTCTCAATATCATGAACATCTCATGTTTAGATATTGTAGAGTTTTAATCCATCCCAAGAAACATACAATATACAAAATATATATGTTTACAAAGGATGAAAGATTTATTAGAAGTCTACTATTGAAAGAAGTATACGCAAGTACAACTTAAGAATTGATTGATTATAATGTTGCAAACCTTTCTGTTTAGAGTATCAGTTCCATAATTGAGAACTATATATTTGTGATAATGATATTATTACTTAATGCTGACAATATTAACTTCCATCTTCAATTGTAATGCTTTTGAGTATATTGCCTTTGCTTCCTTTGACTAAGTATTTGTAATTTTCACATATTTGTTGTTTTTTACTTTTAGAATTTCTTAAGAATAGTTATTGGATAAAACCATATAAATTAATCATAATATTATAGAAGATCATGTCGCATAAAATTCCTAAGGTAATTTGTTTACCACATATTTTTCCTCCAATCCAATTAAGACACTTGACTACAGATCCTACTCTAGGT